TATAGACACTTCCAATGAGACTTATGGGCCTGGAATCTCTGAGCTCTATAACACCTTTCCTCTTGGGAACTAGAGCAATAAAAGAAGCATTACTGGACCTCACCATATAACAGTGTTGATGAAAATGATTAAGAGCACCCATTAAATCCGATTTAACAAAGACCCGTGACCTTTGAAAAAAAACCATTGTAAAACCGTCCGGACCTGGACTTTTGTCTGGAGCACAAGAGTTGATTGCGGCCAACACCTCATCTTCCTCAAAATCTCTCTCTAACCATGCCTTCTCTGTGAGAGAAAGACTTGGCAGATTTGAACAGTTATATTCTGGCCTCCTTTGTTCATTCTCAGTGTAAAGGTCTTGATAGAAACTCAAAATTTCTGCTTTAATGACTTCCTTGTCTTCACATAGCTCATCTTCTATCATTAGCTTATCTATGCTGTTATTTCTTCTATTGGATTTTGCCATTCTTTGGAAGAACTTGGTGTTCTTATCCCCTTCTTTGAGCCATAGACACCTAGGCTTTTGTCTCCATGAGACTTCCTCAGCCTTTGCCATTCTTTTGAGGTCTAATTTCAGCTACATGGATTTCTCTTTTTCTGCTTGGGACATATGTCTTGTTTCAGTTGCTTGTTCTAATAATGCGAGTTCCTCTAGCAGTTTGTTCCTCTGTGCTTCCACTCTGCCAAAGGACTCCTTGTTCCAAACTGTAATGTCCCTTTTCAAACTTCTCAATTTTTGAGTTAGAATGAAATCTGGACTGCCCCCAATTGTATAGTTCTGCCACCATCCTTTGACCTTGTCCATAAAACCATCTACTTGAAGCCACATATTTTCAAACTTGAAATATAAGGGATTGGCTTCCCAGTCACCACACCCCAACAATAAAGGCCTATGATCAGAAGTAACTCTTGGAAGAGCTAATTGCTTAATTGCCTTGAAGTTTTCATTCCACTCTGGAGATATTAAGAACCTATCAATTCTTGAGGCTTGCATGGAATCTTCTCCTCTGTACCATGTGTAGCATGGAATCTTCTCCATGTGTAGTGAGCTCCTTGAAGGGGAAGATCAATGATACCTAAATCTTGAATTGTATCTGTAAAGGATCTCATCGCCCTGGACCTTCTGACACAATTATATCTTTTCACTCTCAAATCTGCAGACGTTAAAGTCGCCCCCTATAACCCACTGCTCCTCCCATATACCTCTGATAGCTGCTAGTTCATGCCATAAAATCTCCCATAAATGTTGTATTCAAAATTTCTCTTTCCGAGAAAAGTTTCAGTTAGTCACTAACTTTAAACTGAGGATGTATGTTGGACACCACGATTAGGACTATAACATTTATGTATAACTAGAGGTCTGACTCTGAAGCGCTTGAAAGCAAACAAAATATAAGGGGTGTTTTGGGGGAGGGTTTTTTATGGGTGAAACCATGAATTCAGTCCTCTCACATAGCTACAGGAAGTAGGCATATAGCTGACGGAGAAGCCAGTATAATCTAAAGACTGTTTTTCGAACCTACAACGTGCCTCTTTTTTCAATTTTCTACATGCACAATACTTCAACAGTAAGAAATTTCGAGTTGTACAAGATAAACAGTAAGCACGAGGAATCCTCTACCTACTCCAAAGGTCATTTCTATATGATAATTCCTAATAAAACCCTTGAGTAGGAGAAGCCAGTATAATCTAAAGACTGTTTTTCGAACCTACAACGTGCCTTTTTTCAATTTTCTACATGCACAATACTTCAACAGTAAGAAATTTCGAGTTGTACAAGATAAACAGTAAGCACGAGGAATCCTCTACCTACTCCAAAGGTCATTTCTATATGATAATTCCTAATAAAACCCTTGAGTGTATCTCCGTGTAAAGTGTCTCTTTGTTGTGAAGTTTTTGTGTTCAATAGTCTGAATAATGCCATCACATTAACTAGTTTAAAATGGAGGTTTTGACTATTGAAACTGCAAGATCCAAGTTGTGCCCAAAGACCTATCTCTTGTCAAGGTAATATTGGACATAGCCTATTTTAAAAATGCGAAGTAGAATTGATTAAGCTTTAGTTGAGTTATGGTTCATATCAGTTTCAACTAAAAAAGTAGAATGGCGCAAATTTTATGAAACCCTATTTTAACAAACGGAGGTTTAGTTGACTCAGCTGAAGAGAATCACAATCTGTATAGTGAATATAAAACCACAAAGATGAAGAACTACAGGTAGCATTCAAAAGGTAAAACCAACATTGACATTACCTCTAAGAAAGAGGCATTTTCTGGATCATCAAACCTCCGCAAGGACCCGTCATCTATAGTGAACCCATTGGTCCAGAAAGTGATAATATGAGTAATACTCTCAGGTGGCTGAGGAGCAGCGGACACAGTCTCACCCGTAAGTCTTCTAGCAGTTCCAGAAAAACTTCTTGAGCCAGAAGATGCAGGAGGTGCTTCAACAGCTGCATATTGTCTAGCTTGATCGAATATTGCATCCACGTTATTTGCTTTAGATGGATCTTGAACAAGCATTCCACTACAAAAAGACTTCGATCAGTAAATTACTAATGAGAGTGCACACTGCATCTCCACAAGACAAGGCTGAATAGTATTCAAGTGTATCCATGTAACAGAACATCTTAAGAACCAAGAACTATGCATTTAAGATGTTTGCATTCTCCGTCTCACAACAACAGAACAAGAAATTGGATGATGTAATACAGTGAAAGATGAAGAGAGAACCTGTAGTTAAAATGATCTCCATATGCTCATGGACCAGAAACAAATCCTTACACAGCACTGCATGTATAAATTTTTTGATAACGAGAACCGCATGCTAAATCTTTCATATTCCAAAAAATTTAGAAGTACTTAAATACATGACAAATCATAAAGACCAAACCTCAACCTAAATCGTGAAATCCCACAACATTGTAATCGTAGGAATACTTCCAATAGTTATTTATTTATTTGATGAACGAGAAATCTGTCTGGGCCCAACCATTAGGACCAACCACAGCCTTCTCCACTTAAATACCAGGCTTAGTTCGCATGGTGCAGGACTCAAAACGGTCAGCTAAAGTCATTAGTCCAGTAGTCCCTCAACCTTGACATGGGGGCAGGATATTTCCGATATTTACACCACCAAGTGGCGAAAACATGTAGCATATAGGACACACTAGCAGGAAAAGCACATTGAACCCATAAATTAGACCCGACCCCATACTTCAACAAAATTTGAACCTGATGGTGTCTCAACTCTTTACTCTTATCACCTCCTTCTTTAACTAATAGGCCAAGGGTCCATTGGCTTAGAGCAAAAAGTTACAAAGCACAAACATGTTACATTGATAGTGATAAGCAACTATAGTGCAACATTATGATTTCACGATACATAACGCAATCCAATGAGCTGGAATGAAAGGAACCAAATCCTAGCAAAGGCAAAAAATATGATTTTGTTCTAATCCACCTAAGCATTGGAAGTCACCCGGTACCTAGTGGGAGGATGCAGGTAGCCGACTGCATAGTCAAGGTGATGTTTTCACATATTCCTCGAATTATTGCCTCAAATTTCTCTCAAACACATTATCCAATTCTTACTCAAAAACAAAAGTACAGCATAAAGACCAATACTTTATTACTGAATACTAAAGAAGCAATAGAAAACCAATAGTAAAGTAGCAGCAGTAGTAGCGGCAATACCTTTTTTCTCCACCGGTATAATACTCTTGAGGCTCATCGGAGTCACTACCAGAACCAGTAACAGGCCGACGATTCAGATCAGAGAAAGTGTGAATTCCACCAGTTCTCCGCCCAGCAGCAGCAGCAGCAGCACCACTAGAGGTAGAAGGGTTTCTAGGTCGAGGCGGAGACGGGGATCGGGAGCGCGATGGCGAACGGCGTTGGTCAGCGGCGAGGTTAGCGGCGGAGGAAGCAGGGGCATCGTTGTAATCCTCGTCAGCGGCGGCGGCGGCGGGGAGAGTATTGTTCTCGAAGAAAGTGGAGACGGCGGAATCCAAATCGAAGTTGTGGCTTTCGAGGAAGAAAAGGGCTTCGGGTTTTGAAGCAGAAGTGATTTCACAGAATGTGTTGACGAGTGCTTCTCTTTGTGGATCGGCGGTGAGATTTGCTTGATTTTCCATCTTTTTCTGCTGTTGCTTCTTCGTCTTTCTCTCCTTCTGCTTCTACTAGGAGTACTAGTATGTACTGTACTAATTTTTCTCTTTTTTAACAAGAGGCAGAGTTTGGTATATATTCGTTTCTTCAGGTTTATGACTTCGAGTCTCTTTATAATTGGATTTATTATGACTTGTAAGGGAAGAAAAGCAAAAACGTTAATATAAATAAATAAATAAGAAGAGAAAGTTTTTTCTTAATTAGTGATTTTTTAAAGATATTTACTTTTAAACGTATAGAGATCGGAGTCGGTACTGGATGCATAGTTAAGTCAATTAATTTATTTTACTTTTGCAAATTAATGTGCATGAATGTTTTAGATAATAAAGTTTCAAATAATATGGTGTCAAGTTTTAATATTTAGGTAAGTGTAAGGTCTGCGTACACACTATCTTTCCAGACCCGATATTACTGGATAGGTCGTTTGTTGTAGTAAAATAGTCTAGGAATGCAATGCAAGATGGTATGTTTAATTAATTAAAATATTGAATGAGTAAGCAGCTTAATTTAAGTTTTAATTCAGATTGTAATTTCAGAAGCTCCTGCTCTTTACAAAAGCGAAACATAATTTGGCACCCTCAATTACTATTTTGTATTCCAATGTTTTGCTCCAAAGTGACCTATTGGCCATCAGATTAAGCTATCCACCGAATTGTTTTTGACAATCAAATAGAAAGCAGTGCAGCTTCAGCCTGTTTAACCTAAATAAAAATAGTATGATTAATCCAAATGGCCGCTTTACCAGACAAATAAGGAAATTATGTCAACTAATTAGTATCTAAAGAATTTATAATAAGATCTTAGCACTGTCAGACGACAAAATGACCAAAAGAAGAAAAGCTACAAATCGGTAACAATTTCCTGGTTGCATCATAAGATTTTCTCATTGTATCTTAGGGATGTATAACAAGTATAACTCAAATTAACACATGAATTTCAACCCAAACTACCTCAGCACTTGCTTCATTTCCTAGTAGCTTTTGAATACAATAAGCGCCTTTGGTTAAGTGTCCATAGAATTACTCAAGTACATTGATCCAGTAACAAATGGTATATTCACTTAACTATAAAAATGCAGCAGAAACCCACTCTTCAATGCCAGGACACTTCCAAAAAACAGAATTCAACGAGTCTTATTTATCTCGCCATTTCCAATGCCTGTTAGTCGAGGGACAACGACAGGTGCACCACGAACCTTTTCAAGGGCAAAGCTTACCCTCAAGGGGCGACCTAGAAATGCCTGAAAGAAAAAATAACGTCAAATGGAAGTTCCATGCCATTCTGACGAGGCTGAAATATCACAGTATATAGTCGTCAGCTCACCTTTCCGTCCATGGCATCTTTTGCACAGCTGGCCTCGTCGTCTTTTGAAAAGTGAACAAACCCAAAGCCTCTTGATCGGCCAGTTTCTTTATCATACATTATTCTTACTAGACACATGAAAACGCAGATATTCAAGCAATTTAAGTTCAGCTCAGAAATACGTGGGAATGTGCATGTATGTTCAAACAAAAGGAAACAAGAAAAAGGATCTTGACAATCAGTAATATCATGCAATTCAATGTTACTGTCTGATTGTTGAAGAGACTCGAGTGGCTGCTATGTTAAATAATCTGATACTTAACCATTAAGAACTCTGCAATAAACCTCCTTCATCCCAGGGGAGTGTGTTCTAAAAGCTAATTCTTACAGTTTATGCTTTGAGTGAAGCAGAATCGGGGGTGATTACCTACTTTAGAAAAAAGATTTGATTGATTGATGAGCTAGTCAATTTTTTCCCTAGTCGAGTAAAGGCAGAGAAAGTTTGTCAGGAGCATCATCACGAAATGGGCTCTGGGGTGTGAGTTTCTACTCACCAAAGAGTGAGTTCCAATTGAATAATTTCTAACAACTGTGTTCCAGAGGCAACACAACAACAACAACAACAACCCAGTGGAATCTCACAAGTTGGGTTTGGGGAGGGTAATGTGTACGCAGACCTTACCCCTACCCTGGGGAAGTAGAGAGGCAATACGAAAAGGTTAATCAAGAAAGGATAATTAGTAGAAGACAAACAAAATTTCTTGTCAATTGCAGCCTCATGCTTGTTTGAAGGATGTGAAAACCATAAACCATTTGCTACTCCACTACTTTTGTAGTTGGCTGGGCTCTCTAGAGTCTTAATTTTAGTGCCACCTCATATTCATGCGTTGCGTGCAGAAGACTTTCTCGCTGTGAACCTTTCAGGTATAGTCTGTTCACATTCACCGCTATCTCTCATCTTTTATTAGTATGATGATTTCTTAACAATTTTTTAAGCTTCATCGAATTATACCATGAGCTTAATTTTTTTATGAGCTGACCGCTGGTCCACAGCTTTCTACACATTGGTGGTACCTAGCTCCTTCTGTCCTTCAATTCATGCCCTCAATAATAAAGACACTTGCTGCTTGTCTATTAAAAGAAACAAAAGCCATTAAGTCCTACAGGTACAAATTACCTTACCAAAAAATAGTTCTTAAACTGTGCCACCTGTAGCCAGGGGCGAAGCTATGCGCACCCTTCGCCGAAAAATTATATTGTATATAGGATAAAATGTGTATAAGGTAAAATATTAGTAGTACTTGTTATTGATAAAAAAAATAGACTTTGAACAATCTTGCATAACCCACCGGCAAAGGGTGTGCTAGAATTTTGGGTTGATGTTAAAATCTTTTACACGCATAATTTGACCCTCAATCTCCCTCAACCAAATGACCAATTAGTTTCATATGAATTTATCTTCATGTAAAGTACTAAGCATAGAATTTCACAGGGCAGTTACATTTCATAAAGAGTTAAACCATTGGGGCATTTTATCAAAAAGGTAAACTACAACATATATATACTACCAATCATACGCTACTTATATTACCTTCTGTTACTTGCCCGAAAGAAGAGAATGCATCGTTGAGCGACTTCTCATCCACAGACCATGACAAACCTGTATAAGTAATTTACAATATGATAAAACTAATATAATATACCCATTAAATAACAACATGAGCTGTAAACAAGTTGAAGTTATAGGTTATTTGAGTAAAGAGGATTAATCATACCAGCGACGAAGAGCTTGTTATTGGGAGGTTGGGAAGAAGCTGAAGGATGAGAGAAATACAATCGCCCATTTAGAATGTTTGGAAGTCTTATTACTCTTCTGGAAATCTGTATCAAACTTCCCTTCATTTTTCTTTCCTTAATAATAAATCTCCAAAGTGACTACTATACGCTCCTTCTAGAAAAAAGGAAATTAAATCCCCAAATTTCATGATTATATGAATTTGTACGGTAAGAGATTAGTTTATTATTTTAAAAAATTATTTTTATAGGTGAATTATATATATCTTCCTTCATGTTGCCTACGTAACATTTCCTCCCATTTCATATTAAATACTCATTTTTAATAATAATTTTTTTAAAAAAGTACAGAATCCAAAATTACTAGGGTTAAAATATCTAATCATTTCCTCTCATCACAGGTCGGCATAACATTCAATATAAATTTATAAGTGATCATAAAAATTAGTACGGAGACCTCTATTAATATTTGACTATTTCTTGAAGATATTTGCAAGTATATATGGAGTTTTGTTAGTATACTATATTTGTAAAAAAATTCCGGAGAACAAAAATAACGAAAAAATAGAAATGTAGAAGAAGTAGAAATTAATCTGAGCCCACTAAATTCATAGTGTTTCCTTAAGGAACTTAATCCCCTCCTAGTACCCGAGGTTATGGATTATTTTCTCCCATGATAGAACGGATTACACACTAGTATAGTGGTACTTCAAACCCCAGTGTTTCAACGAACACAAATGGAAGCAGCAATCACACTTACGTTGTTTGTTTTTGTACGAAAATAATGCAGAAAGGAAGAGGAGAATTCAAAATTTTCGTAAGAAAAATATGAGGTAATGGCCTGCTATTTATAGCCAACAAGTTGGGTTTAAATTAAGAGGTGTAGCTCTTCAAGATGATCGTTCATGTAAAGTGGCTATTACGTAAATGATTATTTACGCAAAATAAAACGGAAAAATAAAATCAGAGAGAAACTTTAAATTACCATTACAAAAACGGTCGATTTGGATTAAATATTAATATTTAACAAATAAATTTGGTCCAATCAATGAATTAGATCATTTGACCAAATCCGAAGCCGAAGCCGAGCCGAGCGAGCGATAACGACAGCGTAAGGCTTGCCTTCTTCTCAACTCTTTAAGAGCTAGAAGAAGTGTAATCATATATATATACTCAACAAATGAGCTTTTCTCCTCCATTATGGGACAATGTTCCTTTGTAAAGGAGGAAAAATTTAAATTTTATTTTTTCTTCCATTTTCCATTCACCCTATTTTAAGCTAAACCAAGCTTAAACACAATAATGCCCCACATGAATGGGGAATGGCTATATCATGAAAATATGCATGAAAACTGCGTGATTCGCCAGCAAGGATTAATCGCATCTTGATAAGTAGGTTTCCCTTTGAACTTTCTGTAGTGAACTTATGTCGAATATACTCGGTCAATTGGTAGATTTGATATCTTTGAACCGTCGAACTTTGGTGTATACCTAGACAACCATAAGTCACACAATCAACCCTTAACCGTCTTTGATTCTCATTGTTATGTTCATTTCAGCCATGAACACCGCTTGGTTTCATTAGAGAACTGGCCTTGCAAAATTCTCCTTGAAGCGGCTAACACTTCACACTTACATAGGAGATTCCTAAACGTGTCATCCCGTAGATATACTCTTTAATATACCCCGTATCAAATTTAGAAACCATTAAAAAGCCTTAATGTTTTATCCTTGGTACTGAACATTGTCTCATCACGAGAATGGACTAAATATTTAGTTGACAATGTTGAACCGTCATTAATGACTTTGTTTGATCTCCTTGAACCTAGATCTTTGGATCTTTAGTCTTCTAGGTAGAGTTACCGCCACAATGACTTGTCCTCAGCCATAGTTCCATTCCCTCGATGATCTTTCAACTACCTTTCTAGTTAGGCCTTTTGTAAGCGGATCCGACATATTATCGCTTGACTTTACGTAGTCAATTGTGATAATCCCCCTATAGAGTAGCTGCCTAATTGTTTTATGTCTTCGTCGTATATGACGAGATTTACCATTATACATAACACTCCCATCCCTTCCAATTGTCGCTTGACTATCGCAATGTATGCATATTGGTGCCAACGGTTTGGGCCAAAATGGAATATCTTTCAAAATATTTTGGAGCCATTCAGCTTCTTCACCGGCTTTATCTAAGGCTATGAACTCAGTCTCCATTGTAGAGCGGGCATTACAAGTTTGTTTGGACGACTTCCAAGATACTGCTCCTCCACCAATAGTGAATATATATCCACTTATGGACTTAGAATAAGTTGAACCGGTGATCCAATTTGTATCACAGTATCCCTCAATCACCGCATGATATTTACTGTAGTGCAAAGCAAAGTCCTGAGTTTGTTTTAAATATCCCAAAACTTGTTTCATTGCCGTCAAATAAGATTGACTTGGATTACTCATGTATCGAATCAATTTACTCATAACACAAGCTATATCTGGTCGTGTATAATTTATGATATACATTAAATATCCCAACACACGAGCATAATCCAATTGTGATATGCTTTGGCCTTTGTTCTTTGCTAGTGCAAGATTCACGTCAATTGGAGTTTTTGCAACTTTAAAATCTAAGTGCTTGAATTTTTCAAATATTGTTAAAATGTAATGAGATTGCGACAATGCTAGACCTTGATAAGTCTTATGGATCTTAATACCCAGAATTAAATCGGCAACTCCCAAGTCTTTCTTATCAAATTTGCTAGTTAGCATACGCTTAGGCGCATTTATGTTGGCAATGCCATTACTCATTATCAGCATATCATCCATATATAAGCAAACAATGACTATGTGATTTGAAATATTTTTAATGTACACGCATTTATCACATTCATTTATCTTAAAACCATTTGACAACATTGTTTGGTCAAATTTTGCATGCCATTGTTTGAATGCTTGTTTTAGTCCGTAAAGCGACTTAACAAGTCTACATACCTTCTTTTCTTTACCTGGAATCACAAACCCTTCAGGTTGTTCCATGTAGATTTCTTCCTCCGAATCTCCATTTAAGAATGTCGTCTTAACGTGCATTTGATGAATTTCAAGACCATATACCGCAACTAATGCTACTAACGCTTCTATGGACGTAATTCTTATAATTGGAGAGTATGTATCAAAATAGTCAAGACCTTCTCGTTGTTTATACCCTTTGATCACAAGTATTGTCTTATATTTATCAATAGTGCCATCGTCTTTCATTTTCCTCTTAAAAATCCATTTAGAACCCAACAGTTTATTTTCAGGAGGAAGATCAACCAATTCCCATGTATGGTTATTCAATATGGATTCTATTTCACTATTGACTGCCTCTTTCAAAAATAATGATTCTGTAGAAGGCATAGCTTCATTAAATGTACAAGGATCATTTTCCAATAAGAAAGTCATAAAATCTGGTCCAAATAAAGTAGACGTTCTTTGACGTTTACTACGTCTCTGATCCTCCTGATTAGATGCACTTTCTTTTGTTTCTTCCCGAGGTCGTTTAGATCTTTCACTCATCTATTCACATTCCTTTTTATACGGATATATATTTTTAAAGAATTCAGCATCATCTGATTTTATAACCGTATTATTATGAATGCCGGGATTTTCTGATTTATGAACCAGAAATTGATATGCTTTACTATTGGATGCATATCCTATGAAAACACAATCAACGATTTTCGATCCTATCTTTACCCTTTTGGATTTATGAACTTTCACTTTTTCCAAACACCCCCGCACTTTAAAATAATTTACGTTGGGCTTCCTTCATTTATATTTTTCATATGGAATGGATTGCGTTTTGCGATGGGGTACTTGATTTAGTACCCGGTTAGCCGTAAGAATGGCTTCCCCCCATAAGTTCTGTGGCAAACCAGAACTTATCAACAAAGCGTTCATTATCTCATTTAATGATCGATTCTTTCTTTTCGCAATCCCATTGGATTGGGGCGTGTAAGAGGCCGTTGTTTGATGAATAATTTCATATTCTAAACATATTTCTTCAAAAGGAAATTTGTACCACCCCTATCGCTTCTTTTTTCAACTTCTTTTTTTGGTTGCTTGAATGCATTTATTGCTTCATCTTTACTACTAAGTAAGTAAACATAGCAAACGTATGCAATCGCCTATAAAAGTTATGAAACTTCTTTCTACCACGAGATGGTATTGACTTCATGTCGCAAATATCTGTGTGAATTAAGTCTAAAGAATTTGAATTCCTTTCAACGGATTTATATGGATGTTTAACATACTTAGATTCCACACATATTTGACATATTGATTGATCGCATTCAAACTTAGGCAATACTTCCAAATTAATTATTTTTTACAAGGTTTTATAATTGACATATTCCAAATGTCTATACCATAAATCATTTGACTCAAGTAAGTAAGAAGAAGCTGAAATTTTATTATTCTCAATAATCATTACATTCAGTTTGAAAAGGCCCTCAGTGAGGTAACTTTTTCCTACAAACATTTCGTTATTACTTATTATAACCTTATTAGATACAAACATGCACTTAAACCCAATCTTGATGAGAAGTGCAGTAGAGACTGAGTTCTTCCTAATTCCAGGAACATAAAGGACGCTGTTCAGAGTCACCACCTTGCCAGAAGTCATTTTCATAAAATATCTTGCCAACATCCTTCAATCTTGACCGTTGCAGAATTTCCTATAGAAAGCGTCTCTTCGGGTCCAACGGGAGCATATGTAGCAAACGATTCTCTAACAACACAAATATGGCGAGTGGCTCCAGAATCAATTTAACATTCCTTGGGATTTTCCAACAGGTTGTATTCAGAAAGCATAGCACACAAGTCATCAATATCCTCATACTTTTCAACCATGTTTGCTTGAACCTTCTTCTTGTCTTTCTTTGGAGCACGACAATCTGCAGACTTGTGTCCAGCTTTCCCGCAGTTATTGCAATTTTCTTTGAACCGCTTCTTGCTTGGGTTACTTTTTAGTCCACGAGGCTTCTTTCTCTTTTAATTATTTTTTGGAGCATCCTCAACAATGTTTGCTCCCATTATTATTGAGTTTCCACGTCCTTTCTTTTCAACAACTTTTTGTCCTCTTCAATCCTCAACCAAACGATGAGATCTTCGAGTGACATCTCCTTGCATTTGTGTTTCA